TTTCGAACTTACGTTCTTCCTACAGAAACCGATTCATCGAGTGTCTCAAAGCGTGGGTTCGCGGAGGAATAACTCAACGCGAGGCTATCAAAAATCCTCGGCGTCTCTGGCACTTGACAACATTTTCTTTTCGCAAGAAGGAATATCCGAGAGGATGAATGCGAATAACACAGGAGCATATGAATGTAAAATAAAGTAAAATAACTGTTTTATTAATATTGACGAAAGTCTGAAGCCCGGTGACTAGACACGAGGATAAATAAGCTGTCGACGCTGTAAACTATGCAGATGCAGTTTTTTCCGTGCGTGCGCTAGGAATTATTCAAATTTTTATGCCCTTCGTAATGAGACTGAAATCCATTTCAAGCGGTTTCGTATCGATGAAGGAAAAACTCTCGCTGGCTCTCGAGCCGGCGTGTGCGAGCGATCACGAGCGGGAATTTAAAGAGACGCTTTATGTCCGCACGGGTAAATGTATGTTTAAATTTCAACACTCTTTCACGTTTTGGGCCTCCGTTGCAAACGAGACTCGCATATTTTTGGACCGGTGCGGTAAGTAATTTTTGCCCAAGTAGAGATCATATCCCAAGTAGCATTTTTCAAACGGAAAAATCGCGATATCGTCATCTTCCGGCCGAAGTATCAAAAGCAGCATGCGGTGTTGTAATGCGTGTAAATGGTACACGGACTTTATGTCCACTTTTTTTACGTACACAGACTTTTCGTCCCCAATTTTTACGTCCACAGTTCTGAAGCCCACACTGTTGTTAAGTCCATTACTTAAACACCCACTAAGTTAAGTCCACAAATGTAAAGTCCACTTTAATCAAATTCAAGCGTCATATTTTCGTCCGTGTGTAAAATTATATTGACAATATCGAAATGAGAAAATTAAGAGAGAATGAGGTGTTGTTTTCGGAACTCATATTTTAAATGAAATGTTAATTTCTTCTTTTGATTCATCTTTTCAAATTGTCTTTGGTAGATACTTGGTTTCATTTTTATCCTTGAAATTTTCGATATAAAATATGCCTTAATGTACATTCTTTTTTTTAAATGAAATTGATTTTCCAACCTTTGGACTTCCATCAAACCTTTTCCAAGCAAATGGCATCGATATGAATCTCAATGAGCCGTAGTTGTGATGAAAGAAACTATACAAAAATTAATGAAAGAGGAAAAAACTAAGAAGCACGCATTTTTTTGTTTTTAACTTATTTGTACATCAACCTCCTTTCGTCAAATACGTCCAATTTTGAGCGTTTAGTTGCGCTTACACCACGCTGCAGCACAGTAAAAGCCCAAAACATAAAAGAATAAATTTGAATGCTTTGGAAATCATTAAATTTGACACGGAACCACTATTATATTTACAAAAAACACATTATATTTTCCAGTGGTACATATTTCTTTTTCATCGGTTTAAAAGGGAATAATCAATGCAGAGAGTGCAAACATTTCAAAATCATGAGTTGAAAAACGCTGACTCCGCGAGTTTAAATATTAGAGCCTAACACAGAGCGGAGCGGCGTGTTAGCAGCGCAGAACGCGCACTGGCGCCTACAAACCTAACGGGATACTTCACGCATTGCGCAACGCGTGAAGTATCCCGTTAGGTTTGTAGGCGCCTATGCGCGTGTCACGCTGGTTGCCTGCCGCGCCGCAACGCTTTAAGCAACTATTTCGCGTCAGAGGCGTTGCACAGTATCCTACAAGATTGAAGGCGCACGAAATAACTAGTTAAAGAGGACTTTCAATTTTGACTGCATCTGTTACTGAAAAATGTTTAATTTGACATTGGAGCGTTTCCTAGGCTCCTGCTTTGGTTTTCATCTTATCATATCCGTACAGTGTACCATGAACATATGTTTTTATCTGCTCTTAGAGTCTGTTCTCTTTCATGACTTGATTCATGAATGAAATGTTTTTAAGAATAAGGGTAGTAGTAGTAGTATGCATTTATTTTTGAGGTGCTTCCTGTCATTTAAATGGGAAGAAAAAATGTGGACATAACATAACATGTGGACTTAATAAAGACTACCCACCAGAGGTTCGCCCTGAGCTCCTCACCTCTCTAAATTCGGCACTGAATTTGACCCTATCGCATTATTGTCTCCATGATATTTTTGATAGCCCATAAAAAGCTAAACCATTACGACTCTATGCAAAGCTATGTAGTCTAACTTTGAGTCATAAGTCCAAGAGGTATGGTTTTTCTATAAGATTCATAGAGTACATAGAATCGTAATAGGGATGGATGGGGAGGGGGGCTGGCTCCCCTTTTAGGCATTTCTAGTCACCAAATTTCATCACCCTTGCGCGGTGCCGGTCACTATTTCGATACATTATCGATTGTTTTCGATATATGTCTATCCGGCCATCCGATGTAATTAAGTAGGTTATGAATCATTACTTGTAAGGTATCTAACAGGTGACCGAATCTCGGCGGACACCAAGCTTGGAACTCGTCGACCAAAACATGACCCTAGCTCACTTCCTTGTATTATTACGATTCTATTACTCCATGATCAAACTAAGCTTGATAAATCAATCTGATGAAATTCGAACGATTCTCACGCAGTTTAAAGTTTTCCTGAATCAGTTCTGTCTGTAAAAAAAGCTTGAAGATAATATTTTGAACATAGCAGTTTTTCTTATCAATGTTTCCATATATCAAGCAATTTTAAACATCCAAACGATATAAACGAGACGAAGATCTATTTTCCAGCAATTTACGTGCATTAAATGAGGAAAATTCAAAAGTTGCGAGTTGCATTGAAAGCGCTGGGTGCAGAAAGGGCATTTCTTGGTTGAGGTGTCTCAGAACTCCGCTTACCTTTCATCCAATTTAATTAAAGCAAATTGTATGGAATTCGTTAAAACTTTTAGTGAACTTTCTTCACGACCTTACAAAGCTGGAAAGGATACATTTAAAAAAAATTCATTAAGCAGTTTCCTACCTAAAATATAAATTAACAGTAAAGGGTTTGGGTCACCGCAACCAAGAAATGTCTTTTCTGCACCCAACGCCTCAATTCTAAAATTTTTAGAATGAGCCATATTAGTATTTTTTCGGAGCCCATTTTAAACCTGGAGCATCATCTAAGCTAATTGAATATGGTTTTCCGTCTCTGTATGAATCCAGAGCGTGCTCTCTCCTCTCTGAAAGTTACCGTGCGCTCATTCCTGTGTAGATCAGCGATTTCGATCAGCAATTAAACGCCCTCCTTCAAATGCGAGACATCTGACCAGAATTGCAACTCATTGCGTGACGTCACTGGGCCCAGCATTTGTCTCGCGGATCACTGCAGGGTGCCCCGCTTTGCTGCCTGTTTGGCTCCCGCAGAGAAAAGCCGTACAGGACAAACGTCACGAACTTTGCGCAAACTTGTCAATAATTTCTTTCACGGATTTCTTTCTTCATGTCCCTGTCAGCAAGGCGAATCCGGAGAGTGATACATTCTCCTATTTTGACAAAATGCATTTGAATATCGCAGATCTTAGATCGCTAGAGTGACACGCCGCACAGTGGATCAAGTCCATAGGAGAGGTCGGACAAAATTTGGAAACTTTAAATGCCTATAACTCCGTTAATACAAATTTTTAAGGATCTAAAAGTGGTACCATTGGTTTTCTCAAGCAATTTCCTTGCAAAAATACCCCTCGAAATTTAAAAAGGGACGAGATAAACATCAAAATTTGCAGTTTTAGTCAAAAATTTCATGTCCGACCGCTTTAATTGACTCGATCTACTGTGCGCCGCCTGCTCGGTCCCTCTCTATTTTCTACCGCATTCCTTGGGATGCTTATTACTGTATCTTTGTATGACAAGACGTCGTTTTCCTCATGAAAGAACGTAACTGCAATTCAATGCTGCCAAATTTCTCCTCGCAAATTGCACTTTTACCAGGAAAATCTAGGACACTTGTAACTGAAAATATCACTTATTTTTCGCCTGATTGCATGCAAAAATCATGAAAATATTCCTAAAAAATTAGACAGGTGCACAAACTTGTAAAAAATCGAATTTTTGAGTCAATTTTGCAACCTTGGAATGGAGTTACGTTCTTTCGTCCGAGGAGCGACGAGGAGAATCTGTGGGAGCCGCCAATGTTCCCACATTGATCGTTATTATCTGTGATGGAGTCAGGCAAAATGTGCCTTAAGGTGGTGACTCAAATTGTTCAGTACAACGAAAAAAACCGGTTTTGGGTTACAAATGGACCGTGTCAGGCAAAAAGGCATAAAGTCGCATCATCCATTCCCACATCTCATCGAGGAATTTATTTTTTTTCACAAGAGAATGGTTGTGCGGATTCTTTTGAAAATTTCAGGGAATCTGCTTCGTGTCGCAGAGGAAATTCCCTGATTTCAATAGGTAGAATCTACTCTGCCGTTTTCCTGTAGAAATATAGATCATACCATGCAATTTGGCAATGGCTGATTTGACCCGGCTGCGCTCTGAGTAATTTTGCTTCAATTTTGATGCCAAACACATTTTAATATTTTCAAGAATATTTAGTCAAAGTTTCAAAGCATAATTTGCGGGGTTTTTTTGGGGGAAGTTATGAGTGTTTAAAGACAATCTTCCCCAAGAATGACGACAGCGCCGGCTTTTAATAGCGGTTTTCTTGAATTCTCCGTTTTTCGCCCTCGAACGTCAAAATTGCTGCCAAAAGGGCAATTTTTGGATGTTTTTGGATCCTTATGATGCAAAATTAATCTCTAAAATCGTGGTGTTGTGAAACCATTTTTCTGTCACCTGAGATACATTTTCGACTCATCGTTGAGTTTCGTTTTCACAATGGATAGCATTAAAATCCTCTCTGGTAAAGGTTTAAGTAATTTTTTTCGTTCGCTTTTTTCCTCCAGAAAAAACCGGTTTACTTATTTCTTTATTAGCAAGTGGCCAATAAATTCGGTGATCTATAAATAGGGAGGGGAGAAGGAGTCGCAGGATAATCATGGATTACAGTAAGCGCAATGTTGTAAAAAATCGATTCGGTTAACAAAATTGTTTTATTCAGAATTCAGGAAAATTTAACAAAAGTAAAGCTGCTTATCGTACAACAATTGAGTATGTGAAAAATTATAAAAAAGCTCATTTTTTCTTAAAATAGTTGTAAAATACTTTCTATATTTTACATCGATCACATTTAAAATTCAATCAAATGCAAAAACTGTACTCTGAGAGTTCGATTAAGGTAAAATTGTTTATCACATTAAAATTGAGTATTATATAAACTTAAAAATGAAATTCAACTTCACATCCGAGAATGAAAGATGACAAATTACATGGATCATGCCCAAGCTTTGGTCAAACATGGTACCAATTAAAACAAAAACTGAAAAAAATAATAAGGAAAAAAAGAATCATGATTCTCGCAAAATATAATAACAGCGAAGCATACATACAACAAGTGAATACCTACAAAATAAAAAGAATAATTTTGATTCGTGCTCTAAATGTGCGTTCTGGGAACAATGGTCGAAGCGACGATTCTTAGATCAAGAACTCAAGATTTTTGGACCTAGAACGTGCACAGAATCCTATTACGACCTGTACATTATGACTCTCAAACACTAGAATATTTTTGATTTGTTTTACAAAAAGGCAAAACTTATGGTTCAGACCTACATCAACGATATCTCATTTTATATTCCATGAGGTGTACAAAAAAAATAATTTTACTAAGCAATTCTGCTAATATTTTGGGCAAGACGAATTAGATCCATCTGTGATCGCACCATGCATAATATCTCTCAGATCTTGAATCCTTTGTAATACCCTGAAGCAAAAGTCCATTTAGAGTAGAATCAAGGTAAACAAAAGAATTCTACCTAACTTAGAAACAGCGTGATGGGTCGATGCAACTCTTACACGCTTAAATTAATCATCAACGAAAGACACCCTATCGCCCTTGAAAACCACGCAGAACGAAGTTTAAAAAGTTATGACTTTTCTAAAATTCGCTGAGTGAAAATTCATGAGCATCCAATTGAAGCAATAAAAACATCGACGGTGACCTTTTAATTCAGAAATAAATTTGACTATATAACTTAGAGTCGCGTTTTCATCATCCTGTCAGAGATCAAGGTGGCTTTGCCTCCTACCCTACTGATCTCGTTGACCACATTTATATCACAATATCTGGCTAAAAGGATCTGCTGCGCTGGTCACAGAATCGTGTTTTAATGCTTGGTGCTAGTAAATTAGCTTGAAATAATGAGATCTGTCCAAACAGCAACTTTCTACATTCAATATCAACTGTGAGTTATGTCGCTTCACAACATTAGGTTTATGACGACATCCACCGGGCGGTAGTGACACCCTTGGTTACCTCCACTTGCTTTCATCCGAATTTCACGTTGGGTAACCGGTGAAAATGTGTGTCTTCCTGACAAATGAGACCAAGGATGTCACTCCCTTCGTAGATGACGTCATTAAACGAATTTTTCAAAGCGACATATCTCGGTTAATAATGGACGTATCGGGTTGCTGTTTGAACAGATCTTATTATTTTTAGCTGATCAACAATTAATAACCAAGCATCGAAACACGATTCCATAACCGGCGCAACTGACCGATTTACATCGATGGCAGTAAAGTTCTTCAGTGTCGTCACTTAGCACAAGATGGTCATTTCAATACCGTCCTGTGTTCAGAAGGCACTGAGGAGATCTCGTGGGGCTAACTAGCCGCCAGATTGACGGGCAAGCTAGGTTGCTTGGGCGCGGTCGCAACGCACTTCTTGAAGTGCGTCCGCATATTGCTCGACTGACTAAACTTGAGCCCGCACTTCTGGCACGAGTAGGGCTTGACGCCCGTGTGGTAGTTCATGTGGGTCTTGAGGTGGTGCTTCTTGGTGAAGGACTTGGAGCAGACGGTGCAGGTGTAGGGCTTGACGCCGGAGTGGAGGCGCATGTGCAGCGTCATGTTGGAGCGGTCGGCGAAGGCCTTTTGGCAGATGACGCACTGGAAGGGCTTCTCGCCGGTGTGGATCCGGAGGTGCTGCTTGAGGAGCATCTTGCGGGAGAAGCACTTGCTGCAGTGGGGACAGACGTGAGGTTTTTCGCCAGTGTGGATGCGGACGTGCATGTTGTAGGCGACGCGCTGGTTGAAGCTCTTCCCGCAGAACTCGCAGCCGTACTCCTTTCGGTTCCGGTGGATCTTCATGTGGGAGCTCAAGTACCCGCGGTCGTTGAAGTACTTCCCGCACTCCGGGCACGTGGCGGCGAACTCCTTCGTCCCCTCGTGCACCGAGCGGTGGTACTTGTAGTTCCGCAGTTGCGAGAACTGTTTCCCGCACTCGACGCATTGGAACGGTTTCTCCCCCGTGTGGGTCCGCATGTGAACCTGCAACAAAAGAGGATTCAACGGATTAGGATGATGTCATCACCGAGGAAAGTCAATGACTAAAGTCGGGAAATTTTCTTTCCATGGAAAATTTCGAAATCTCCCAATGTATTCCATTTTTTTGAGAGATGTTTGACCCTTCGACTCCTGAGTTACATATTCACGCTGCACTCCCCCACCCTAAGTTAGAAATGGGAAATCGTGCAAAAATGACGGTCATTGGTCTTCTCAACTTTATTTTCTTACTTCTCCCTCAAATAGCGTGAAATTGTTTGTACTTTATTCAAAGGTACGTCGGAATTAAGATCAGTCACCAAAAGTGTATTATCAGCATTCAGCGCCCAATTTTGCTCTCTAATAAATTACACTAAAAAGAAGCATTTTAAAGTATTCCAAGGCGAGAATTCTCGTCGGTAGGGTCTGAGTGTGGTTACCCTCTCATAATCGCCTCGAGACCTTATTCAAATCTAAACTAAAAACCCATTGAAAACTCTTAAATACCGTGGAGAACGATGGGAGGTGTCTCAGAACCTTTTATAAAGTAGTAGTCTCGAATGTTTCAGGTTTCCCATTTTTGCTTTTCTCCCGAATTTTACAATTTTCCCCCCAATTTTTTGAGGAAGATGAAGACAAATCAAGGTATACAGCCGCATGTTAAATCGCCCATCAAAACTGAAAAGTTAAGCGAGACCTCTCGGAAACAAGCAACATCTACATGAAAAAAAACTACACACCCTTAGGGCGGCCGCACTGAGGAATTCCTTTTGGCAGCACGAACATTCATGGGCTTGGACCTTCTTGCCGTCGGTGGTGGTGCTGGTGGCGCGTGCGTGTTGCGTCTGATGGCTCAGGAACTTGGCCTGGTCGTCGAACGTCTTCTTGCAGACGGTGCAGACGAGCCGCTTGGTCTCGAGCGTCTGGCCGGGCATGGTGGCCGGCACCGGGCAGGCGTCCGCGGGGCACCGATTGTTATTCGTGTCGCTGAGCGGCTTCGATGTTGGGTCCTGTGATCCACTGTTGGTCGACTGCGGCGCGGGGGTCTCCGCCTTCCCATGCTGCGCGTGCGTTGTCATCTTCGGAATGTTTATATGCCCGTCCGAGCGCGCGCTCTCCATGCCCAGTGGAGATCTCTTGTCACTTCTCATGGCGATCATGTCCTCTCTGTCTTCAGTTAGGGGTCTGCTCCCTGCGAGAGGCTGCAACAAACAAAAAAGTGTGTATGTTAGATTTGGGTGTAATCAGAATGAATTTGGATCAGAGAAAAGAACATAGGGTGCCATTAAGGAAGCAACCCCCCCCCCCCCCCCCCCNCTGACAGATAACGCAGAGGACGCGATTTTCTGCAAAGGAGGGGTATCGATAAGGGCCTTTTTTGGCCCCCTCCTAGAATCTGGAAATTTATGCGGTTTTTCCAAGTTGACTCAATGTAGTTTACGGAAATAATCATGATTTAGCCCATAGTCCACTGGATACGTGTTAAACGATTGCCTAAACATAGGTCTGCAGGCGTATTCTAGCGAAAATTCGTGTTTCTCTTTCACTCCGAGGCTTTTTTGACACCGAGCGCATCGTCAAACTAAAATGAGCTATTGATATGTTATCAAGGAGGCTGTAGGACCTATTTTAACCCTGGTTTGGTTTTAGTTAGATGATGCGCTCATAGTTAAAAAAATGATGGATGTCCCTTAACCGTCGATTGTTGTAAAAATTTTTTTAAAAATATGAGCTAACTTTTTTACTATGAGCGCATCATCTAACTAAAACCAAACCAGGGTTAAAATAGGTCCTACAACCTCCTTGATAACATATCAAAAGCTCATTTTAGTTAGACGATGCGCTCGGTGTCAAAAAAGCCTCGAAGTGATAGAAGAACACGAATTTTCGCTGAAATACGCCTGCTGACCTATGTTTAGGCAACCGTTTAACACGGATCCAGTGGCCTATGGGCTAAATCATGATTATTTCCGTAAACTACATTGAGTCAACTTGGAAAAACCGCATACATTTCCAGATTCTAGGAGGGGGCCAAAAAAGGCCCCTATCGATACCCCTCCTTTCGGTAATTTCCGTCCTCCATATCGGTGACAAGTTTAGACACTGAAGAAAGCAGCCAAAAGAATTAGCTTTTCATTCATGAGTTGCTATGATCTGCAATAGTAGGGGAGGAAAAGGAAAAGAAGGATGAGCGCAAATCAGCCCTCTAGATGCCCCTTTTATCGATTTTTAGATTTTCCTTTTTTTCTAACCTTGCGTTAAAGTCTCCAGGAAATTCGCCTTTTACCGCAATCTACGGCTTAATTCTCAAACAAAATTCACTCTCTCTCCCTTCATGCTACTTTTTATCGGCACGAAGCATCGATTGACACTAGTATCAGGGCATTTCCATTCAGACCTTCTGGTGTGAAATCTACGAACTATGGGGCCGTTACTAAATTACGTAACGCTAATTTTCGGTTTTTTGACACCCTCCACTCCCCTGTAACGCTTCGTAGGGCTAAGCTAGACCCCTCCAAACATTACGTGACGCTTGCTAGGACCCTGCCCCCTCCCTTTGATAAAAAAATAGTCTAAATATCACCTTACATATACTGAACGGATTGCCGTTTAAAATTAGCGAGGATAGGTGAAAACATCTCAGAGAATATTTTTGAGTTTCTTAAAACTTCTCTACGGACGATCGACGAGAAATCCTACAGAAACTCGAAAAAAATCACTAGTTACGTAACGCTTCGCTCTATACCCCATCCTCCGTAACGCCGCTTAACGTTGGCAAAGACCTCCCCTTGGAGCGTTACGTCATTTAGGGACGGCCCCAATGGGCTATTTCAATCTTTAAGAGATGGCATAATCCGTTCGAGCATACGCAGCTTTGAGGAGGGGGGTTAAGGAGTAAGGACTCTCCCAAATCCCGCTAAATTATGGTAATTACTAAAAAATATATAACCTTTGAGTACCGGAGGCAAGAGGAAAAGGACGACCGTCAAAGCCCCCTCTCCCCATCTCGCTAAAGTGCCGCTGTTAGCTGCACTCCTGGGTTTGCGCGATCGTCTAAATTGAGACTTCAGTCATTTGCACCGGCGATTTCAAGTATTTTAAGACCACCTCCGAGTCTAATCACACCGACTGTGCCGCGTATGGATCCGAGTTTTGATTTATCACCCACTCATTTTTATGGACTCCAATTGTCGTAAAGTATCGGACCCCGCGTAATTATTGCGAATGAGCCGCGGCTTGCCGTATCTGTTTGCCGCTTCATTACTGTCGACTCGATTCAACATACCCGACAGTAGACTGCTTGGACCCCCCCTCTCCCGGTTATACCCCCATGACAGAAGATTTTCAGGAAATATGTACCATTTGGACCTGCACGGAAATTTTTTGGCCAAGGGCCCCCCCCCCCCAAGCATGTCGACGGCGAAAGTTTTCAACCACGTAGGTATCTGGTTTGCGGTGTTTGAGAATTTCCGCCTCTATATAATTTTCTTTAAAGGAGAACAAATTGACATCATTCCTTGAAGTTTTTGAAGGATTTCCTTCGTACAGAGAATGAAAAGCACGACAGTTTTAAAGAATTGCCGTTGAGTAGTTTTCCGTTTAAAAAATAAAGTATGACAGGAAAGGCTGCAACATCGCAAACCGAGATACGTGGTTGAGAACTTACACTGCCGATGTGAAAAATATTTAGCTGCTCCACCGGTACCTGATCAAGGAACTACGAAGAACACAGCATCTGGGTAGCTGTTCTTATATAAAAATAGAAGAAGGAGAATCCTCAAACTGAAAATTGTTTCAGAAAGAAAATAAGCTATTACTGGATCTTCATAACATACAGTCTCCAAGAAATCTAGTAGCCAGATTAGATTTCTGGCAGTGCTTATCACGAGGCTGGTCAACGTTACAAAACGACCAATGGTAGTAGGTGAGGAATCGCTGCTTTGCATTGCATCATAATATAGGAGGTTGAAAAATGAAAAATTTGCGAGGCGCTTAACTCTCTTGTTACCTCAATCATGATTTGCTCTGAGGGTAAAGTCTTAATCCACGGCGACCGATAGTTCAGATTCAACAGCCCATGCATTCTTGACGTAGTTTTTTCGTTCTGTTGATGAAGATATTTTTACACGATGAAAATCGGAGACTTCGATCAGTACTAAGTAGTAATCATTAGTGTCTTCAATTCACTATTGCCATATCATACTTTACGCGTACGTTCGTTTCATGAATACTTTTGGGCTTGGATTTGGATTGTTATTTTTTTATGTTTCCAGTGTAAGTTTGGCAGTAGCGCTCTTAGTAATGGATCATTATTCGTCGAAGGTGCCAGATAACTTGATCATTAAACCCCGCAAGAGCAATATCAATTTTTATCGCCGCATCCAACAGCTAAGCGCCAGTTTTTTGCATCATTACCTGATTATGAGAAACCGAAGGGCAAAAAAAAGTTTCAGAGGAAAGAAAAGGAAACGAATTCCACGATCAGATAGAGCATTACGCTGTTTTAAGAAAACGCTTTTATTTTAGTGTTTACAATTAAAGAAGACTATGCCCGAGTATGATCGCTCTACTCCAGTAGTAAAAGGTGACCATTTTTTTAATGGTCACTTTAGACCCTTATTTCGTCAATCCTTGAAATCTTTAGGGGCTTGTAATGCATTTGTCGCAGGCAAATAATAGTGAAATCAGGCATTTCGTCAAGTGCCTGGGCAGATATTCAAATTTTGACGGTCTACAACATTTAGTGAATTTATGGCGAAGAGCTCACGATTTTTCACTATTTTTGGAAAAATAACTCATCAAACATACGATCTCTCTTTGTCTCTCCCTCTTAAATTGCTTCTCATACTTTTCTATGTTGAAATTCCGAAAATTCTGTACTTCATGACATGCTGAAAATTTCAAGATCAGTGTCTGTTCAGGTGCTAAAAATCGTTTAAAATACGATTGTGTGGTGCAAATTTTTACTGAGAATTTTTTCTTGCAGGAGCAACGAATTATATCGTCTTAAATTAGGGAAAGAAACAGACTTTCAATCTAAGTTAGAATATTTGACTAATTGCCTAGCCATTTGACAAAATGCCTGATTTTACTGTTTGCCTGCGCCAGATTCATCGCTTGTCGAAGTGGTATATTCGGAGACAACAAAAGTTAAATGACAACAATGCGATGGCTACTGTACACGAATGACCGGCCAACTGGAGGGCCTTGGATTGAAAAATGTACGGGAGTCGGGAGTGAGACCTATAATTCTGAAGCCTTATAGACCTTAAATCTTAGCTCTCAACTCTGAGTTAAAAGTTCACCCGGCAATGACCCCTTCCATTTGCGGATAGATTTGTATTATCGACTAGTGGGATCATGGCTACGGGCCGCGGGCCTGCCGCCTTGTGTGCGACACGTATGTACACGACTCATGCCTTTAGACTACGCAGAATTGATGAACTGCTGCATTACTTGTGCCAACACGTAGACTCACTTTTTTAGCACCTACTCGATCAGAGAGCTCTAAAACTGGACCTAGCTCATACTTATTTATTTTTCGGTGCTCGTGTTTAACAAAATACGTATTGGTAGTAAAATCTTTAAAAAAGTATCTATGAGAAGCATCCATTAGAATTCTGCTTCCTGTTCCTGTCTCACAACAAGGTTCTTTTCTTTTTTCCTTTTTGCAAGGTCTTTAAAGCATGTAAAATGTTTTAGAGAGACATTTTAAGTCATATTTCAAAGTTGTGTCCATTATTCATCAGCTAATACGAATAGAGGGGAAAGAGTAAGTTTGAGTCGGCATACTTACCTAATTTCATTAATAATAGAGGAATACTATTATTACTACTATTTTCTATTATTACTTGTAAACCAACATGAAACTGTTCTATTATAATTTCATTATGGAAGCGAATAAAGTAAAAACATAATAATACTCGAGTGTGCGTCGGTGCAGTACACAGAAAAAATTAAATTGCTGATTTAACAATTAAATTGCTAAAAAAAAAGTGAATGCAATATTTCAACGTAGATTTCACAACACAAAACTACACTACTTTAACCACTATTGTAAGCTAATTTAAGCACGGGGGTGGTAAAAGTAGCATTTTTGTGTTGTGAAATCTACGTTGAAATAATGCAGTCACTTTTTTTTAGCAATTGAATTGTTAAATCAGCAATTTAATTTTTTCCGTGGGTTGGACGAGGAAGCAAA